TGCTCAAACTGATTCGCAGCCGGATTTCAACCTGTTCTCTGTGAAATCAATAAGTCATGCTCCCATCAATGTACCAGTTTATATCAACGGTAAGAGCATCAGCTTCCAACTTGACACTGGAGCATCTCTAACAGTCATCACAAAGAAGGACTTTGACGCTGTCACAGGAGGATCAGTGCCTCTACAACCATGTCACAAGTGCCTAACAACATACACTGGTGACAATGTTCCGGTAATAGGAGAGTGTATGGTTCATGTAAGTTATAATGGTCAAAGTGTTAAACTTCCTCTTCTTGTGGTTGAAGGAAATGGACCACCATTACTAGGTAGGAACTGGTTAGTTGATCTTAAGTTAAATTGGGAGAGTATATGTTCATTGAACAATGCAAGAGAATCTAGTCTTACTTCAATAGATAAAGTTATATCTGAAAATAAATGTGTTTTTGGCAATTCTGGATTACTAAATGATAGAACAGTGAAGATAAGCATTAAAGACACAAATCCAAGATACTGCAAAGCTAGAGTTCCACCTTATGCAATGAGGAATAAAATTGAAAATGAGCTAAGTAGATTGGAATCTAATGGCATCATAAAGAAGGTAGACTATTCCGATTGGGCAACGCCCATTGTGCCAGTGTTAAAGAAGGATGGTTCTGTAAGAATTTGTGGAGACTATAAAGCTACACTGAATAAGCAAATAGTGCTAAATAGGTACCCTATTCCTAATATTGAGGAAATTTCTTTGAATTTGGCAGGAGGAGACAAATTCACTGAATTAGACTTTAGTCATGCTTACACTCAACTAGAACTGCATCCAGATTCAAAAGTCTATACGACAATAAACACACATAAAAGACTCTACCAATATGAAAGACTATGTTTTGGCATATCATCTAGCCCTGGAATTTTCCAAGCTGTCATGGACAGTATTTTTAAGGATATTCCAAATGTTTGTGTGTACTTTGACAATGTGTACATAACTGGTAAGAATGACACTGAACATCTTAAAACACTAGATAAAGTCTTGAAAATAGTTGGTGAAAAAGGTTTAAAGATAAACAAAGATAAATGTCAATTCATGTCAACAGAAATTAGTTTTCTTGGTTATATATTAAGCAAGCAAGGTATCAGACCTCAACCTGAGAAAACAAAAGCCATTAAAGAAGCACCCAAACCTGAAAATACCCAACAACTAAGAGCTTTTTTGGGCTTGATAAATTACTATGCAAAGTTCATAGGGAATCTGTCTGGTAAACTATCACCACTGTACAAGCTGCTGCAGAAAAATGCAACTTGGCACTGGGGTAAACAACAAGATGCTGCTTTTAATACAGCAAAAGAAGCTTTGTCTTCTGACACCTTACTAACTCACTATGACCCAGGGAAAAGACTTATATTAACATGTGATGCTTCACCAGATGGTGTAGGAGCAGTCTTGTCCCACATGGATGAAAAGGGTGACAGACCCATTGCTTTTGCCAGTAGATCTTTGAACCAGGCTGAGAAAAATTATTCTCAGTTAGATAGGGAAGGCTTAGGCATCATTTTTGGTGTTAAGAAATTTCATAAGTTTCTGTTTGGTAGGAAGTTCACCATCTTTACAGATCATAAACCATTGCTAGGTTTATTTGGAGAAAACAAAACCCTACCTGAGCATGCCTCACCAAGAATTCAAAGATGGGCTATCACACTAACTGCATACAATTATGAATGAGTACTGTAAGAATGGTTGGCCTGAAGAGTCTGTGAATGATGACTTAAGGCCATATACAATAAGAAAAATGGAATTAAGTCTAAAAGATGGAGAAGATGTAGTCCATTATCAGTCAGAGTTACCTAAACAAAGTATTTGTAACTTAATAAATGATTATGGTGATATGGCAATTTCAAATGCTTTAAATAAGAAGGAATGTGATCATCAAACAACTTTGCTAACATCATTAGCACTTACAGAAACTAAAAGGGTAACATCAAAAGAAAAGAAAAAAGATTTTTGCCATTTAATACACCCACTTCAAATACTGGATCACAGTTACAAATTGATATGGTCCAGAATATTACTTTTAAACAGTATTTTTGGTTACTAAAAAGCACTATCAGATTACCTGAGAAAATTGATCAATCAAAGAAATCTATGTCAGTCAAGGATCTGAATAATAGCATAATACTTCCAGATGCCAATTCAAAAATAGTTCCATTAAATCATGACAAAACATGCATTGAAAGAGAATTTGGTGTTAATGAGAATGTGTATCTAAGAAATTATGGGAGAAAGGAAAAATGGATACCAGGTCAAATTGTTCAATGTACAGGACCTGTGTCTTATAAAGTAAAAACAAATGATGGACTTATTGTCCGTAGACATGCAGACCAGTTAAAAATAACTTGTGCAGATAATAAGTGTGAATCTGTCAATCCCACCAAATCTGAACAGTTCACACCAACTCAGTTTGTTCCACAACCAAGTTCTGTTGATATGAGTGAACCAAGTTGTCTGGAGTCAGAAAATGTAAATTCTGGAGTTAATCATTTAAATCCTAGACCTCCTGAGATAGAGAATCCATATGGTCAGAATCTTGAGTCACCAAATCAAAAGCCACTGAGAAGGTCAAACAGGACAATCAAAGTCCCAAATAAGTTAGACCTATGATTTTAAAGGTCAAAAGGACTTTGACATCATTGTTTTGTATTTTAATTATGTTGTAACATATTGTGCATTGTTTGTAAGGATGTAATCTACCATAGTGTTCATGTTACAATATAATTGGTGATTTTAGGATACTGTAAATTGTTCTATTGAGAGATAAGTTGTGTTTACTAAGGGTAAAGGGATGTAATATAGTGAGACTTGTGAAGTCAAGGGAACTCACTCTTCTTGTATTAGTATTATATTTATACTGTTATCTTGAGTGATGTCCCTTACATGTATATAAATAATGGTCTCTCGTCACTTCCGCTCTCTCTCCATCATGGCTAAATAAATGCTTGTTAACAATCAACGCGGCTTCTCGTCAGTGATTCCAATCTATTATACTAGACTTTCACAGATGCAGTGGCGTAGCGAGGTCGGGTGTCACCCGGTGCGGAACTTAATGGTGTCACCCCCCCCCCCCCCCCAGAGGCGTAGCGACTCTTCCCAGGGACAAACTTTCAATTTACGATTTGCACCCCCCCCCCTCGAACTTTCGATTTGCACCCCTGTTATGGCCGCTCTCCGACAGCCGCGTAGGGAGCGGACATCCCAGGTTCGTTTGGTATGGTACCGATAGAAGTCACTCTAATGGAATCCCAACAACTTGCCGTGAGCTCGTTAATGCTGTCTAGGGGTAAAACACGACAAATCGAAGAGACTCAACACGACTTAAACTATCAATACCTTTTTAATAAATTTACAAGATCATGACACTAGGTAAGTTCAAAATTTACAGACTCTAAGAGTACAATAAATAAACTCAAAAACTCAAACTTACAGTTTGAGAAAATCACAATATATCACAGCTGTGGCTTAGTATATTATACACCAATAAAGATCAATACTTCACACAACTGAATGGCATCATAATTACCACACAAAAAAACCAAGAAGAGACGTATTGCCTCTACAACAATAGAAATCCAAATAAAGGTCAAACTATCACCGAAGTAATCAAAAAGGTGCAATAATACACCAGAACACAATAGTTGAAATACTACAACTTGTCACATAATACCTTATACAAAGGTGATAAAACATTACACAAAATTACAATACTGAACAGTGGCACACATAACCTCTGGCACAACTCTCCTGGTCCAAAGGTCAATCTGGCTGCCTTTTGACATGAAAAAACCCGAGATTAAATACAACTCAGATTAAGGGGAAATCACTCAAAAGTCTTACGACTATTGGTTGAGGATCTGTCAAGGATCCTCACGGTCGCAAGACCATTGGTTGAGGATCTGCCAGGGATTAAAAATACAATCACCTGATGTGACAGAGTTCAGTTGACCGATTCGTACCAGTGAACTGACAATTCTCCCAAGGACAAATACATAACTTAGGAGATTAAATATACATAAAGCAAAAAGACCTAAGTAGGTCACACAACCCCCCCCCCTCAAACTTTCGATTTGCACCCCCCCCCCCCTCACATTTTTCTCTATATATTTTGCTATTTTTTGCCTTGGTGTCACCCCCCTAAATGGTGTCACCCGGTGCGGTCCGCACCCCCCGCCCCCCCCCCCCTCGCTACGCCTCTGCACAGATGTAGACCCTACCTAGATTTAGAATTAATTCAAATAATACATTTCTATACTAAAGTATTTCAGGCCTTAATTACTTTATTGAAATCTTTGTTTATCTATGCAATTTGCTAATCTCTATGATATATAAAGCACTTCCCGGCGCCGCAGGCACTTCAAATTTGGCAGGATCTTGCCTTGGGGGGACAGAACACGGGGGCCGGTTGGCCGAAAAGTCTACGATGAGGGGGTAAAAACTGACCTAGACTGACCGGCGCCTTATATGAGCTATAAATCGAACAAAAATGTCCACGTAGGAACATCTCGTAGACCGACCCTCGGGGGAATTAATTAAGCATTCAAATTCTCCATGTTTTCGAAAGCCTAAGTGAAGCTGGGCAGCATGCCTAGTATATAAATATATATCTAAACATATATATATATATATATATATATATATATATATATATATATATATATATATATATATATATATATATATATATATATATATATATATATCAGGCCTGATTCAAGGTTTCAGTTACGGACTCACTGAATTCATAGAAAAGAAACTAAAGCATTTAGACATCCTGGGATGAAGAGTAAACAATGCGATGAAACACTTTTCTTAATGATTCTACGAGAGAGAAGTGGGTGATATCCGGATCACTGGGTCGACAATTTTCACATTGTGTTTCAAGATGACTCACACGCTGTCAACGTGTGATTGGCTGTTTGTTGGTACTCACATCCTGCCAACACATCTAAGTCAAGGGTGCTCTATACTCTATACACTATAATACACTCAGGTTATACACAACATTCATTGTTCATTGTGACATTTCAATGAAATAGTCCCACTGTTATCATAAGAATTGTCAGTGTTTTAGTAGCATTAATATTGTCACTTAAGATTTAGAGCAACGGTTTCCAGAACTTCACGGAAATGAAGTGTGCATATCGCCCCAGTATATTAACATCAGTATCGATATTTCTTTTTTGTATAAGTCAAACAACGGTTATCCTTGGTAAATATTATTAACTTGTTACTTTTATTTGTTTGATAATGTTTGTTTAATTGGTTTGATATAGTTTGTTTAATTTCTTTAATATTGTTAGTAAATATTTTTAAATTTCCATAGGCTGAGGAAAGTTGGCTTAGCGTTTCATATCTTTTTGATATAGAAAAAACTTTTGTTATTTTCGTAGCCAATACAGCTTCAAACTGTTTGAAATTTATAGCTTTGAAAATCTTAAATTTTAAACTGTGACGAAATCGAAAGTATGTTTTTGGTAATACAATTTTGTTTATCATAGCATGTTTGTACTGTGATTGAGCAAACATTATTGTAATACTTTTAATACACATTTTTTTTCGACTCGTTAATACAATATTTATGTTCTAGAATTTTTTCTCTGATAATTGAAAATAATATATAGATTTCACGGATCACATATTTCGAAGCAGTGTAAGGAAATACTTATATAATTGCTATTTTTCATATATTGAAGCGTGCGAAAATCAACTTGTCTCTGTTTTTCGTTTCTATATTTGACAGTAAACATAATCATTTCAGTATAAAATATATTTGTTAATCTAATTAACTATCTATCTATATAGAAGCAATGTATATCAGAGGCGTAGCGACCCTTCTCGGCGCCCGGGGACAAACTTTCGATTTGCACCCCCCCCCCCCTTGAACTTTCGATTTGCACCCCCCCTCCCTCGAACTTTTCATTTGCATCCCCCCTCAAGCTTTCAATTTGGCGCCCCCCCCTATGGTCGGCGCCCGGGGACATATGTCCCCCCCCCCGCTCCCCGCCCGCCCTCGCTACGTCTCTGATGTATATATGTGTGTGTGTTTGTTTGTCTGTTTGTTTTTTGTTTTTTTTTATGCATTACTACACCTCTCATCCGATCGCCATGAAACTTTGCAAGTTGTTTAGAATACTCCTGGAGAGGTATCTGCAAATACAAAAATTCAATTTCGCAGGGGTGGCGCCCCGCCAGGGCGTGGTTCAATTCTTCTCTATATACGGTATATAAAAATAAAAGTCGATTGCGGTTCAACACCGTTCATCCAAGTGCCATGAAACTTTGGGGAGTAGATAAGAATACTCCCGAAAAGATTTCTGCGAAAAAAATATTTAAAATTTCTTATGGGTGGCGCCTGGGAGTGTTCGATTTTCGTAAATACACGGTTTGGCGCTCATAGTTCCAGAATGGCTATTGTAGCACTTGGTATCCGTTAATTGGGCGTCCTGCTTAGCGGGGAAGGGTGCTACTACATTCAGCGGTAAAACTGCAATAGACGCATCCATCGGCGCCCCGGTGACTGTGTGTCCTGAAGCGCCATGGGCTCCGCTATGAGTACTCAGGCGCATACGTTCGTGTAAAAAAATAAAGTCTATATACTTAAGACACGATGTGCAACAATAATCGTTGACTATATCGAATCAGGCGCATCCTCCGGCGCCCGGATCGGGGCCGATTTGGCGTCCAGGTCTCACCCATGACCACTATGGCGTCTACGTTAATTTTAAACAGCGCGATAGACTATGGATACAATGGGTAGCTATAGTCGCTCCCCGGGCTTCCCCTTGAGCGTATGGCGCATACGTTCGTTTTAGAGATTGCGATAGAATATAGATAAAAGAATTACAGTAGTACTCGTATACTCCATCGTGTAGAACTATCGTTATTGTACTCTGTATAGAGATCATTGCTATATTTAAAATTGCTTTTTATATTTTAAATTCAAATTCATTTTTTCTCTATTGTTTTAAAGGAAGTAGTTCTAGAAAGATAAACATGAGCACCAATGCCACAAGCCCGACAACATTACTGGTATCTTGGAATATACCTATCAACAGCACGGAAACATGGTTAAAGATATCGAACTCTACGTTTAAACATGACAACATGGTACATGGGAAAGTGGAGTACATATTCCGCGACTTAAAGCCGGGCACAAATTATACAGTTCAACTGTCATTTAAATTTGAGACGAAACCCAGCATGAATAGAAAAGAAACAGTTTTGATGCCGAATCTGACAGAGGGACCTCCAGAGGGAACTTCAAAACCACCCTACTCAAACTCGATAGAGGGAACTTCATTACTACCTAACGCAAATTTGGAAAAGGGAACTATAAAGCTACCCAACTCAAATTCGACAAACAGAACTTCAAAAATTCCCAACTCAAATAATTATTCTTCGACATTGGAAACTTCAGAACTACCAGGTTCAAATTCGTCGGACACTAACGCTGCCAATGTAACTACCGTGCTACATTTAACTACCTTGGCTGCAAGCAGCAAGCCATACATACTTCTGTCCTACTGGGTAATTATAACTGCAGCTAGCGGTCTGGGGCTCGCCATCTTTTTTTCAGCCATAGCTATGCTGGTGAACAGAAATAAGCATGCAAAGAGGTAGGTCAAGGTCATTAAGATAAATTGTGAACTCAATTGGCTGGGCATTTGGGGTCAACGTGGTCGGGTCGGTAAAGCTCACGGCTGTTAAACTGAAAAGTCTCGAGTTTGAGCCCCGGGCTGATGAGGATCTATAGCTGGAGACAGTAACCCATCTTGGAGAGAAATCTTCAAAATCAAACAACTGCTGCCTAGTAGTTTGTTCGTTAATGGACAAATGCTATGGAATCAAATCCAAAAGAAATGCAGGCTGAAATCGGAGTCAGCGACCTATATTGCGCATAACAAGTTAACAATTAATTACGAAGAAGAAGAAGCTGGTAATTAGTTAGGGTTTAATTGTGGTATCTACGATGTGGCATTCTGTTATAGTCTTGTTAGCTAAAGATATCACCTAGATTTTTCTAGAATGTGTTTTTGTTCGAAGTATCATCTAAAATAACATCAAGATGTTACCCTAAGATTATTCATCTAGATAAAATGGTTATGGTTGTGGTTCTATTTATGCTTGTGCTTATAGCTGTGTTTTTGTTGTGGTTGTGCTTTTTTGGTTGTGGTTGTGATCATGCTTATGGTTGTGTTTGTGTGTCGCTGTCATACCGATTAAAAAGCTAGAATAACTATTAGCCCACTACACATTCACACGGATATAATTTTATCAGCATAAGTGGTAATTACATATTCAAAAACTTAATGAACATTTAACGAATGTCAAATATGTACTAAACTTTCAGCCAATATAAATATCTACTAAGCCTTTCAGCCAATGTCAAATATCTACTAAACATATCAGAGAATGTCAAATATCTACTAAACATTTCAGCAAATGTCAAATATCTACTAAACATATTAGAAAATGTCAAATATCTACTAACCATATTAGAAAATGCCAAATATCTACTAAACATTTCAGGCAATGTCAAATGTCTACTGCCAAAAGTGACTCTAAGAAAGATCTGAACGTGGAGTATGGCGTGGTGAGCAAATCCTACGAGGAAGTAGTTCCAGTGGAGCAGCGGTTCGCATCCTGCTCTGAGAGCCGGCAGAATAACGCCAACAGCTGCCTCAGCTGGGGGTCGGAGTTCGATGGGATTGAGTGAGTGTGGACTGACAGTAAATTTTTATGGACTGGGGCTTCTACCGACAGTAAAGTTTCATGGACTGACAGTAAAGTTTCATGGACTGGCAGTAAAGTTTCATGGACTGGGAGATTAACTGACAGTAAAGTTTCATGGTCTGGGAGATTAACTGACAGTAAAGTTTCATGGTCTGGGAGATTAACTGACAGTAAAGTTTCATGGACTGTGGTTTTTACTGATAGTAAAGTTTTATGGACTGGGATTTTAACTGACAGTAAAGTTTCATGGACTGACAGTAAAGTTTCATGGACTGTGGTTTTTACTGACAGTTAAGTTTCATGGTCTGACAGTAAAGTTTCATGGACTGTGGTTTTTACTGATAGTAAAGTTTTATGGACTGGGATTTTAACTGACAGTAAAGTTTCATGGTCTGACAGTAAAGTTTCATAAACTGTGGTTTTTACTGACAGTAAAGTTTAATGGACTGGGGTTTTTACTGGCAGTAAAGTTTCATGGACTGACAGTAAAGTTTCATGGACTGGGGCTTCTACTGACAGTAAAGTTTTATGGACTGGGATTTTAAGTGACAGTAAAGTTTCATGAACTGACAGTAAAGTTTCATGAACTGTGGTTTTTACTGACAGTAAAGTTTAATGGACTGGGGTTTTTACTGACAGTAAAGTTTCATGGACTTTGATTTCTACTGACAGTAAAGATTCATGGACTAGGTTTCTACTGATAGTAAAGTTTCATGGACTGTGGTTTTTACTGACAGTAAAGTTTAATGGACTGTGGTTTTTACTGACAGTATAGTTTTATGGACTGTTGTTTTTACTGTAAAGTTTCATGGACTGTGGTTTTTACTGACATTAAAGTTTCGTTGACTTTGATTTCTACTGACAGTAAAGTTTTATGAACTGGGTTTCTACTAATAGTAAAGTTTCATGGACTTTGGATTTTACTGACAGTTAAGTTTCACGGACTGTGGTTTTTACTGACAATGAAGTTTCATTGACTAGGGCGTGTAGTGAGAGTAAAATGTGTGGACTGGGGTGCTATAGACTGGGTTGTCGTGGACTGGGGTGTTATGGACTGGGGTGTTATGGACTGGGGTGTTATGGACTAAGCCTACAACTAAAATGGCTAAAATCAAAACAAAAATAGCTGTATAACTAAAATACCTAGTTTATTTAAGCGTGTACACGTCTCTAGAGCCACTTATCCACTCTCGAAATAAGCCCGCTAATGACAGAAAAACCTGGCAATAATGACGTAATCACTTCACGAACTATTGTAACACTGCACGATTGATTACGTATGTCACTAATTAACTTAATGAGGTGCTCGTCTTTCAGGGATCGGCCAAATAATATCTATTCGAACAGTCACGTGGCCAAGACCCCAAGGTGAAAGGTCAAGGCAAACATTGTCTGGGCGTTTCTGAAGAGATGATATAAATAAAATTATTTATTACAACGGTTACCTGCTCTTTGCTTCATGTTTTCAAAATATTTATTTAAGTGAGACAAATTTACGAGGTTATTCAAATTTATTGGCATGGTTGCAGCAAAAAATTGACTTAATCAACATTGACTATATCAAGGTCATTATTGTAGACATGGATGAAACAAGTTTTCGTATTTATATTGTTTTGTGAGTTAACTCAAGATTTTTTTTTTCAAAATTATAATTTTAAACAATTATAAGAAGTTCAGTTTAAAAATTTGAAAAGTAAAACTTTTTTTTGCAAAACGTATCAGCCGAATGAATTAGTTAAACGGCTGGACAATAGGCTAATAGAATTAGGAACGCTCTTAATGTAAGTAATAAAACCCTTTTAAAGCATACGGTCTCATGGGTAGGTGAATTATAGTTCACCTGTTTCAAAGTCCTCGACTTATGCAGCACTATGCCCTAATGTGAGTCAGGAATCAGGGACTCGAACATGGGAACCGAACTCGCAACTTTCGGGTAAGCAGTTGAACTATCTACCATTCGACCACGCTGAACGCTATCAACGTTTCCTGTAAATTCTATTATCCCAAAGTGCGGCATAGTTGGCGCGGTGTTGTAACTAAAAGTTCAAAAATTAAATAACTATGCATTCATACCAAATAGTATTCCAAATCAGAAATAGACTACCGAATTTAAAATACGTAAATGAACAATCGATTAGAGTCTAAAAATAATAATCAATAGAAGTCGCAAATTGATATAATTTGTTGGATGAGTTTTTTTTACTGACTTATCGAAGCGTTCCAGGTGACAACCAGCATTTTCTAGATGGGATCCGAACTCATGTCGTTCGAGTCGAGTCAGCTTTAGCGTCATGTACCACTCTGCCACATGGCCCCGACACCAAATGTGTTTTGTTAAGGAGATTTTGTTTTCGTTGTCGCGGCCACGTGACGATGACAAGGGCGGAGCTAAAGAGGTCATTTGGTGCAAGCCTCAGTCGTCCGTGGCAGGTAGCTGGTACATTTGTTAACAAAGGGACATCACCCATTTTATTTGTTAACAAAGGGACATCATCCATTTAATTTTTTAATAAATAGACATCATCCATTTAATGTGTTAACAAAGGGACATCATCCATTTAATTTGTTAACAAAGGGACATTATCCATTTGATTTGTTAACAAAGGGACATCATCCATTTAGTTTGATAACAACGAGACATCCGCCATTTAATTTGTTAACAGAGGAGCATCATGCTTTAAATTTGTAAACAAAAAACATCAAATCATCGATTCGTTAATTTTTTAACAAAGGGGCATCCTCGAACGTGTACTGAAATGGACCACATCAGTTAACATTGATCTGGCTTCTGTTAATACGCATCCTTCATGTGAAGACGGCAAGACCAAAAGTTACAAAGGGCGACAAACTAAAATTTATGAATGCTCCTTTTTATAGAAAGTTATCTTTCTTTTGAAAATTACAAAATGCACTTTTATTTTCACAGTTGAACCCAAATTACATTATTTATTTAAATTTAAATAAAATATGGAGAGCTTATACAAAAGTAGTTTCCTTTTCGGACCTGGCGGCCCACGGGACAGGTAAAGTAGAGTTCACCTGTTGTTTGTTACATTGGTATGTGAAGACAATTGTTTGAGTGGTAAAGTAGAGTTCACCTGTTTTTGTTACATTGGTACATGAAGACAATAGTTTGAGTGGTCAGCACTTTTCCCAGCCGCCTTTACTTTTCCTAACGTAAGTTAGGTACTCAGCACAGTTGAGACGAGCTACGACCCTAGCCAGGAATCCGAACACAAGACTTTCGGGTTAACAGATGAACGCTCCACCATTCGACACCGCCGTTCCATTTGATACAATTAGTCAACCCTTAAAATACAAAAATCCCGTAAACTGGTTTTAAAAGCTCGGAGCAGAGAGTCAGGTAGTTGAGTGGGAGTCATGGTTTGTTACGGGGGAGGGGGAGGGTGGGGGAGGTGGGGCCTTGAAACTTCCGAGGTGCATTTACGATTTCTGAATTTCTGAATGGAGGGGGGTATGGTTTTATTTTCGACAGAAAATAGGGGTGGGGGAGGGGGAACGACGACGAGGTGGTGAGCGTAGTTCCCCCCCCTCCCCCCCACACACACATAGGCCTACTGTGGTCAGAGGTAACATAACCAAACTTACGTCAGTTGGTATCAGTTCTAGGACCGGATATGGGAAGTCGCCATTTGCCGTGTGACATAGCTTCGCCCACGACGCTTGGTTTAATTGTAGAGATACATTCATAGATAGCAGCAAAATATAAGCATTATTGGACGATAACACGGGGGGGGGGGGGCAAATATAACCCATCATCTACACAGACGGCAAAAAAACGACAGCGACCATTTGAATTTACATTTTGACTGCTAGTGTATTTTTAGCTCCAGCTAGCATCGGTTAACGTCACATAAACCTTGATGAGCCTATTAGTGCAATAAACATATTTCATTGGCTAGTATTTTTAGTATATTTTCTGGTAATACGTCACTTAACGGTATCCTCGTCACAGCAATTTATCGCTTTTTTTAGTACGGGAAAACCCATTGAGATAAATAAAGATATAAGCTCATCATAAGAGGACGCGAGATAGTCGGAGTGGTAGTATAATGGTCGTCGTTTTGTTTTCATGTTCTATCAATGTCGTCTTTAGTGTCTTTAGACATTTTTTTATAGACATTTGCAAATGTGTCTGAGACATGTTGACGTTTTTGAGACGCGTCAACTTTCTGTGCATGTCAACGTTTAAGGTTTCTAAGAGTTTTCAACTTTTATAAGACATTGCAACTCTAAGACATTTCAACACTAAGACATTTCAACACTAATACATTTCACCTCTCAGTTGCTACACCATCACACCACTAAGTCATGACACCATTACACCACTAAGTCATGACACCATTTCACGTCTAAGACATTACACCATTACACTACTAAGACATTACACCATTACACTACTAAGTCATGAAACCATTACACCACTAAATCATGGCACCATTACACCACTAAGTCATGAAACCATTTCACCACTAAGACATGACACCATTACACCACTAAGACATGACACCATTACAACACTAAGTCATGACACCATTACACCACTAAGACATGACACCATTACACCACTAAGACATGACACCATTACACCACTAAGACATGACACCATTACAACACTAAGTCATGACACCATTACACCACTAAGACATGACACCACTAAGATCAGACACCATTACACCATAACACCACAAAGACATTACACCATTACACCACTAAGACAACGTCTTACTTTCAAATTGCCGGCAACATTGGAATTCGATCAGCGATCGATTAAAATGCAGATAATTTGTCTCGGTATAAGGACTGCGTCAACACTGGCACTGATAGATGGGGGGGGGGGGGGGGGGGGGAAAGGAGAGGGTGGAGGCAGGGGAGCAAGTGTGGGATGTAGGGAGGGTGGGAGTGGGGGTGGAATGTCCACAAGACGGACGGGGAGGTGTGGAGGGGAGATAATCCTATTTCATGATTTCGTGCTACTATCTGTCTTTATTCCTCTGTTGTTGCCAGTAATAGACGCCCCCCCCCTCCCCTGATGGCTAATGTATCATTGTGCAACAGTACACCCTTATTTCATCCATTTGTTACCCCCCCCCCCCAACGGTGGGTCGCTGGGATCAGATAACATAACCAATAATATTGCTTTAATAGATTGGGTGGCTCGCGGTCTGACGTCACCACCCCGCTGAACGACTTGGTGGATGGATGTCTCACGTCAGCTTTTGACGACAATGTTTTGGCAATTTGATTTTTTTTATGTAACATGATTCTTCATGTAACTAGACTTTTTGTGTAACCAGACGTTTTAGGCAACTATACTTTTTTATGTAACTAGACCTTTTATGTAACTAGACATTTTGCGAAACTAGACCTTTTATGTAACTAGACTTTTTTGTGTAACTAGATATTTTGTGTAACTAGACCTTTTATGTAATTAGACATTTTATGTAACTAGACCTTTTATGTAACTAGACATTTTGTGTAACTAGACCTTTTATGTAACTAGAATTTATATATATATATATATATATATATATATAAATATATATATATATATATATATATATATATATATATATATATATATATATATATATATATAATGTTATGTAGTGGCTAATTAAAGAAGCCCTCTTAATTCACTGATATTCCCTCCCCCAACCCCACTACATACGCCATCAGCGCCTGCTCCTAATTTACGTCATCTCAAGACAGCACATAAGTCGTCTTCAGCACAGCGGCTTAGAGGGATGGTATGGGTGGGGGGGGGGGGGGAAACAATGATGAACACGACGGAACCATTACAAAATATTGTCAAACACATATATGATAGACGCATTACGTCAGTCTTCTTAAATACATAACCATTTTAAATACTATTTTTTTCTAATCAAGTAATTGAGCCAAATTATAAAAACGTGTTAAAAAGATAACATTTAATGAACATACATTTACTTTGGGTTCGCTAGCTATGTGATATGATACACTGAGAGACATCTCTATTATAGCGATTTTTAAAAACCTAAATATTTGACAGAAAGAAGACATCTCGATTCAAAAGTCATAAAATTTTGAAATCTCGTTTAAGATGGAACAAATAAAGAAATAAACACTTGGTATAATGTCATGGGAGTTTTAAAAAGATGAACTTTTAGAATAATATATAGGCTATCAGGTGTCCGGTTTAATGACAATAGAGTGGTATAGGATTACAAACTTATTCCGTTGCTGAGCTTATTTCGTGATGTTATCCTTGCCCGCATTCAAGGCTACCCACATAAACTGCTACCTACATAGAAAGCTACCAGTATGAACACCTCAATGTTTATTACACGCTGGTAGAAATTTCTCGATGAGAGGATAAACTAACACACAAACAAACAAACAAACAAACAAACAATTTGCCGCATAGATTAG